CCTGTTAATATGCATGAGGCTATTTGTCAAAACGGTCAATCTTCAGTTTTTGTTTCTGTTTTTGTTTTTTTTCGCTGCCAAATTAAATGAATTTGTCTAATTGCAGCTGAATGGGGGTTGTGGAACAACAGCTGGGTGAAAAACCTCCCCGTACGTCCACTTGCTCCTAGGAGGAAAACCCCCGGGCCAGCTGTACCCCGCATTCAATGACCTCCCGGGCTGGGTCAGAAATATTCTCAAACCAAGTACCTGCTTTGAGGTAAGGTACTGGCTGTAACTGTTGGCATTAATAATTATGATTCTATAAATACTAAACCAGGTATTCGTTGTAAGTTGACTTTGATGGTACCATCGTCTAGTTATACCAGCCTCTTCACTCTTGGGTTTTGAACTCCTGCATTGAGCTACTCATAAGTCGTGGACCATGCAGTAATGCCAAATTGGTTGTTCTTCTGTACCTAAGCAAAAAGAATTCATTTTCACTCAATTGGAAACTTATTTGTGACTCAAATGATAACTTTTGGCTTTAGGTATTTATAGGCACAGGGACAAGCAAGGGATGTAGCAATAGTATAATGTCTAAGATCTAGTCATTCAACCGATCTCACAAAATAAATGTAAACAATGATCTTATAGCATCACATGTTTATTCCTAAATAAGACTACAAGACTGACTGCAGTGACAAGGATGTCCAAGATAACAAGGGTGACTAGAATAACTGGGGTGTCTCGGATGACTAAGATAACTGGAATGACCAGGATAACTGGCATGACTAAGATGACTAGGGTGACTACGGTGACTTGGATGACTAGGGTTATTAAGATAAGTAGGCTAACTGGGTTGACTAGGATGACTGCCAAGATGATAAAGTTGACAACAGTGACTGGGATGAGTGGGATGATTAGGGTGACTAGGATGGCTATGGTGACTCAGGTGACTTGGATGACTGGGGTGACTAGTGTGACTAGGGTGACTGGGATGAGTGCGATGGCTAGGGTGACTAGGATGGCTAGGCTGACTAGGATGACTACGATGACTATGGTGACTCAGGTGACTTGGATGACTGGGGTGACTAGTGTGACTAGGGTGACTGGGATGAGTGAGATGGCTAGGGTGACTAGGGTGACTAGTATGACTAGTATGACTAGGGTGACTAGGGTGACTGGGATGAGTCACTAGGGTGACTAGGGGGACGAAGAAGCCTAGGATAACTGGGGTGACTTGGATAACTAGGATGTCTGGAATTACTAACAGCGATGTAAAACTGTCCAAGGTGTGAGCCCAGGAGTAATTTAAGCAGTAGGTTGAGCATGATCATCCAGGTAATCGTAGTCCTGTAGTAGGACTGTTGTTGCTGACATTGATTACCCTTTCCACAAACTGTGCAGCAGTCATCTTCAGATTGAAAGTTGGTTGTATTGCATCAGTTGATAATATTAAAATCTGGTTATTGACCTGATTGGTAAATTAAGTCAGGGTGATATTGGTCACCTGTTAGTTAAGCAGCAAGGATGTTATTTGAATGAATAGACTGAGCGGCACGGGTGACTGGGATGACTGTGATGAAAGGATTATTATTAGGATAACTGGGATGGTTAGGTTGAGTAGGGAAACTTGGGTGACTAAGGCAATTGGGGAGACTAGGATAAGTAGGGTGATGAGATAACTGAGATGACTGGGGTGACTAGGATGACTAGGGTAATGAGATAACTCGGTGACTAGAATGACTAGGAAGGAAGGAGTCATACAGGAGAGGACAACAGATGCACCCTCTTTACAAGATATATTAACATGTGAATAGTAAGCTTGGATGTCAGCATACAAAGGTACCACTGGCAGCCGCTAACAGTCCATTTTGAGCTTACTGTGCCCACCCAACCAATGATGTCAATGAAGTGACATGTTGTGTGAAGTTTGACCACACCACTGAGATCTATGTCCCCTACTCTTTTCAAACAGTGTTGTGAGTTCATTTACGTCCCACAAGAACCAGATATGTTAACTGCTGTGAGAAGGGACCTATGGTTTTTCGTCCTTACATGAGAAGACTGCAGAAAGTCTAACTATAAAATTTTGCAGATGTCATTACAAAGACAGCACTTTCTTCTCAGTTTTTTAAAGACCCTGAATGTTGCTCTGGCCGGGGTGTAAACCCGTGACCTTCCACTCAGCAGACCTGCGCTCTCCCAACCTAGCTAACCAGGTGGCAGTTGGGGTGATGGAGATAACTGAGATGGCTGGGGTGACTAGGATAACTAGGGTGACTAGGATGACAAGGGTGATGAGATAACTGAGATGACTGGGGTGACTGGGATGACTAGGGCGATGAGATAACTGAGATGACTGGGGTGACTAGGATGACTAAAAGGATAGACCATGGATTTTGTCAAAAATTTGAAAATTTTCTGTTTTTATTTTTGGCAAAATCAGCCAGCAAAATGTGTTTGACATTATTCTAGAAAGTACAAAGCATTTTAAGACTACAAAAAATAGAAAGTTAAAAAAGTTGAAGAATCAGGATTTTTGCAAAAGAGTTAGTCCATGGGTTTGGTAAAAAAATTGAAATTTTCCATCTTTGTATTTTAGGCAACATCAGCCAGCAAAATGTGTTTGACATTATTCTAGAACATGAAAAGCGTTTCAAGACTATAAAAAAAGAAAGTTTAAAAAGTCAAAAATCAGGATTTTTCCAAAGGAGTTAGTCCATGGGTTTGATCAAAAATTTGAATTTTTTCCATCTCTTTTTTTAAGAAAAATAGGCCAGGAAAACGTGTTTTGACAATATTCAGGGAAGGAAAAAAGTGTTTTAAGACTAAAAAAAATTTGAAATTTTTCAACTTTTTATTTTAGACAAAAGTTAATAGGCTAGGAAAATGTGTTTGAAAACATTCTAGAAAGGACAGAAGGCATTTTTAGACTCTAAAATAAAAAAGATCAGATAGCAAAATGGGTTTGGCGTTATTCTAGAAAGTAAAAAATCATTTTTAGACTATAAAAAACAGAGAGTTAAAAAAGTCAAAAAATCAGGATTTTTTCAAAGGAGTTAGTCCATGGTTTGGGTAAAAAATTTGAAATATTCCTATGTTGTTGTTTTTTTTTTTGCAAGATCAGCCAGCAAAATGTGTTTAACATTATTCTAGAAAGTGAAAAAGCATTTTTAGACTATAAAAAACAGAAAGTTTAAAAAGTCGAAAAAATCGGGATTTTTCCAAAGGGGTCAGTCCATGGTTTTGGTAAAAAATTTGAAATTTTCTTCATCTTTTTATTGTCGGCTTAACAGGCCAGGAAAACATTTTTGTTGATATTCTAGAAAGGAAAAAGGCGTTTATTTGACTCTAAAATCAAAGTTTAAAAAGTCGAAATTTTGGTATTTTTCCAAAGGGGTAAGTCCATAGTTTTCACCAAAAAATTGAAATTTTTCCATCTTTTTATTTTTGGCAAAAACGGACAGGAACATGTTTGAGGATATTGTAGGAAGAAAAAAAGCATTTTCAGACTCTAAAATCAAAAAGTTAAAAAAGTAGAAGAATCAGGATTTTTCCCAAGGGGTTAGTCCATGGTTTTGGTAAAAAAATTGGAAATTTTTCCATGTTTCTATTTTTGGCAAGATCAACCAGCAAAATGTGTTTTTAAACGTTATTTTAGAAAGTCACAAAGCGTTTTTAGACTATAAAAAACAGAAAGTAGAAAAAGTCGAAAAATCAGGATTTTTCCAAAGGGGCTAGTCCATGGTTTTGGTAAAAAAATTTGAATTTTTTCCATGTTTTTATTTTTTTGCAAAAAACAGCCAGCAGAATGTGTTTGACGATATACAAAATATTCTAGAAAGTAAAAAAGCTTTTTTAAAATCTCGTACAAGGATGATTGCATAAAAAAACTATAAAGAACAACAAGCTATACCATCAGTTCATGGTATACACTGAGTTAAATTTTTATCGATGTTGTTGATACTTCAATTTCATGGGTGAAATTTGCCACTACACATGAAAGTCAAAGATAACATAACTACGCAATTCTCATTAGCTAGCAATTTGAAGAAGATTTGTTTGTTCCCACGTTATTTTGTTCATTCACAAAATCAAGGAAACTACAAGCGATTTTCATGTTTGGGCAAAGGAAAGGTCATTATTGAATGCAGTGCCAAAATTAACGTCAATCACTATAAACAAAAAAGCAAACTCAGAAACTCCAATTAAACAGTATACTAATGACAAGCTCCAAAACTTCCACAAAGAAACTTAAAATTATGCAAAGTCTAATGCCCGTTTTCTTCAGTCTTCAAGGTAATACTACACAAAATGGTTTCTTGCTAGACGTGTCGTCAATAATTTATGCCAACAATTACCACTTCAATGATTCTCACGATGTGATTCTCATAGTCAGGAAACAAGATGTAACTGGTAACTTACTTTTGAGCATTAAGCAGGATGACCAGGGTGACTATGGTGACTGGAATGACTGGGATTACAAGGAAGACTGCATGGTTTGGATGACTGGAATGACTAAGGATGACTAGGGTTCATGACTAATATTACTGAGGATGACAAGGGTGACTGTGATTACTAGGGTGACTATGGTGACTGGAATGACTGGGATTACAAGGATGACTGCATGGTTTGGATGACTGTAATGACTAAGGATGACTAGGGTTCATGACTAATATTAATGAGGATGACAAGGGTGACTGTGATTACTAGGATGACAGAGATGACTACGGTGGCTGGGATGACCAGGATCACAGGCATTGCAATGGTGACTTTGGTGACTAGTATGGCTAGGGTGGGTGGGATAAGGTGAATGATTCTAAAACTGGGATACATAGGATGAGTAGAATGACTGGGATACCTGTGGTGACTAGCATGGCAAGGGTGACTATGATGAACCTGCGATAAGTAGGATAACTCGATTGACTGGGATGACTGGGTTGACTGAGATGACTAGGACTAGGCTTATCCTCTCCTAGACACACCAGTCAAAGAACAAAGTGTCTCATACTAGTTTAGAAGGTCAAGAAAAAGCTTTTGATACCTGGAATGTGTAAAACCACAAATGGGACACTGCCATCCCCAGCTGTCACTTTTGATGTCCTCCCTTTAATCTTACAAATAATTTGATATCCAACTTGTGATGGGTATGGAAATTTCCAAAATATTTCCAGATAGGAGGGGTTCTGTAAAATGGGCAGAAATGTAAGAGACAAATTATACAAAAAAAATTTCAAAATGCCAAGTAGAAAGGAAGAATATATAATAGTTTTCCTACCTACATCCTAACATGTATAATTATATGGATCCCCTTTTTTTGCAAAAATTAATGTTTCCTAGCAGAAATAAATAAATAAAGCCTAATGAAGATGATCTTTTTACTGACAAACCACAATCCCAAACAAACACCAGAAATATTTCTGGAACATGTAATGTAAGAAAAAAAAGAAAATCAGGCATGAGCAAAACTAAACCGCAAGGAAGATGATAAATAAGATCATGGTGTTCTGGCAAACTCACATGTCTTGACATTTGCTGTGATTGATCATAAGACAACAAACATTCCCGAAATATCTCTTGAGTGTTCATGGTTTTGTCAGAGTTTCACATCAAAATTCATTGAAGATGTTTACAAAAAGACTACAAAAGCCTGCCTGTAGTTATCACCACAACATATTAAAGGGTTCAGTCTCCCAGCCAAATCAACACTCGTTGGGTCTTTAGATCTGTTTAGAAATTATAGTTACTATATAACTGGCTCTCTGCATGTACTATAGACAGAAAGCCTTCTTGATCCCATCAACAGCAAACAGTGCTTGGAGTTGAAGATTAGAGAAATTTGGAAGTGAGAATTGAAATCAGCAAGGTTTTGTCAAACACTGTCTAAAATCTGTTTATCTGTTTAACTGGGCCTTAGAAATAACTGAGGAGTTCATCCACTTTTTCTAACATCCCAAATGCTTAGACGGTCTGGTCTTCTCAGATAAAGATAAAAACAGTCGGTCCCAGGCAGTAAGAAGCACTTCAACCAATCTGACTCTTGTTGCACAAAAAAAAGCAATTCAATGGCTGACTAGATACCTCGGCCTCCAGCAGTGCCCAGCCCTGGTCCCAGTTGTTAAAAAAGTGGATAGCACTATCCACTGGATAGCGTAATTGGTTCCCCTGGAAGACAATTATTCATCCGGTGGGCAGTGGTTATAGTGCTATCCAATGTTTAACAACCGGGGCCTGATGTTTATCTTTCCATATAACTAAGGAATGGGTACAAAGGGGAGGGTACCTCACCTGAGACCTAAGGGTCTTTACCCCTGTTTTTATTTCCATTGGGCAGGTCTGTGCCCAAAAAAACTAGCAAATAAAGGAAGGAGAGAGGAAGGGGAGACATTTGAAGGGAACAAAATCAACACTATGTAGTTCCAAAAATATCCATACCCCCACCGAAAAAGACCCCCCACCTCTCTGGAAATTCCAGTCAAGCTTCATACATTAACTTAAAGTTTTTGGGCCTTTGAGAACCTCCCATCTATAGCCCTTGAAAACTGAAATTACTCAATTTCCTAATGGATTCCATCTTAATCCTTTAAGTACCCAGAGTGACCAACATCAATTTTCTATTATTAGTACATACATGTAATCAAGACACTGGGTTACAAAAATTAATAAAATCATCACTTAAGTGAAAAAGCTATGATCTTAAATCAAATTCTCTCCACAAGTTTTTCAAGGAAATGTATGGAGATCAGTGTGGAGAATTTCAATGTCAATATTGGGGCTTCAAGGGTTAAAGGCTTGTTTATGGTGGAAAGTGCACTTTAATAGCTTATCCAGCTAGTTTACAGGCCCACCCAAATACTTAGAAACAAATAACTCAAAATATACATGTAACATAACAGGATTCAAAATTCCAACTGGCAAGAGGCACCCAGTTGGCTATTTACAAGGGTGGCCGAGGATTTGTACTAAGGACAACCTAGAACAAATCCACCAAGAGCAAGACTCGAACCCACCACTGCTAGATCATGAGTCTGACGCGCTGATTACTTGGCCAGGCTGCCTCCTGTTAGGGGTAAAAGGATGAAGGCCATGCAAGAATAGAGGAAAAATAAACCACACCATAGCTTGCCATTTCTGCCTGCACTAGCTGCATTCAGAGATTCCAACCCTCTTGATTTGATTTGTCGTCTCCAGCTCTCCCAATTTTTATCAGATTCTACCTATTTATCATTAACCTCTGAAAAAACGGAAAAATTGCTTATCTTAAGTATTGTTTTTGCGATCTAAGTGTAAAACATTACGTATTACACTTTTCTTTCCTATAATGTCTCATCCAGTCTCTTCATTGAACACCCCGTTTTTTTTGCAGACTCATAAGGCCAGTAGTCTATACGGAAGGTTAAGAGTGTATGCAAAGAGAGTACTGAGTATAACAGAGCCCATACCAGTACTGCCTTCCGCTGAATGCATAATTTATGCCTTGAGCACATTAAGTTTATAATGATTTTTCAAAGTGGCCATGGTGTAAAAACAGTAAAAGAAATCTCCCTGTTTCTGAACAGTGGATTAACAACAGCAAAGAAAAGCCCAAAGACGTCTGTGATAATAATAAAGACCTTACAGAATACCGAAAAAAAAAGTGTGGAAATGCAGGAACTGCCACTTGACACAATGACTTGAGGAGAAACTAAATTTGCAAAATTTCATGGTTTCATGGGAGACCATACCCCCAAACCTCGCTAGAGGCTTGTACCTTAGGAACTTGTGTGAGTGCTTTTGGCGCTAAAAAATACTCCCTATTTTCCTCCAAAAGGGGTTGCAATCTCTGTACATGTAATTGGGCACGTGACGTGAAAAAAATTTAAATTATAAAAAAAAACATTTTGTTTGTCCACCCCTCCCTGGCTGACCCCTCTTCATCCAAGCCATTCTGACAGTAGCCAAATTAACATTCTTATCTAAGCTACTCCTATGTAGTTTCCTTAGCTCTAAAATTGCAGTGTAAGCTTAAACAGTCATATCTTACCTGTACCATGATCAAAACTCTCCATGAGCGTGCAAGATCAATGCTCATAAACCTTCTTGTTCCAAATAAAGTACCTTCTTTTTATCACATTTAAATGATAAACAAAATAATCAGCCACTGAACTGAAAGACCAAGCTGCGTTCTGACAGAATTCGTGCTTTCATTTGAAGTTAGTAGGACAAGGGCGCCATTATAAGGCGCCATCTTGGTTTCCCCTGGTCCCCAAGCTCCACTCGGTAAAAACTTAGGCAGATGTTAGGGGAGGGGTGAGGTGAGGCGGTGAGGAGTTGCCACAAAACACGATCAGTTTTAGAGACATGTAAAAGTTTCCTTTTATGTCGATTAACCGAATTTAAAGTTTCAATTTTTTTTTCTCATCCTATATTTTGATGTTGCTACAGGTGTTGAACCTAACTGAATAAGTTCGACTTTAGATCGACACTGGCGCGACATCTGATCCAGACTGCGCGCCGTGTGTCGTGCCTAAGTAAAGTTCGCCAAACGTTTGACAGACTCTGTCGAACTTAACGCTTTTGCCGCATCAAACTAACACTGCTGTACTAAACTGATTCAGACGCCGCTCCTTTACCATACTTAATTCATCAGTTACGTTCGGCACATGAGTGGAGCGGCGACTGAACCGGGTCTAAGGATTTAAGAAAAAACAAGAGTTTCGTTATAGTTTTCTTGATAATAATGAATAATAATAATAATATGTAGATTTAGCCAGGGCAAAAAGCGAAGCTCTCGATAATATTCCAGTATAGTTTGCTAAACAAAATATATAATCGTGTAATGCTAAGCGGCGAAGGAAACGAGAACGGAACAACAACAATAGGTCTAATTATCAAAAAAGCAACTTTGCACGTGCAGCACACTTTTTTGTGCATTTCTTTGCCGTTGTTTTGCACGACTACAACATGAAACTTCCCGGTTCCACGTTTTGTGGAGGAAATGATCGTACGTGTTCTTGTTCATTTTTTGACTGCCGCCCATTTTCACCTTGGTGGCCGCTAGAAGGCCGCTAGCATTTCTCATTTTCTCAACCGCCGTTACAAAATTTTCACGTTGTTCTTCCAACAAGAAAATCTCTCCTTTGTCTTTTATCGCTCGCTGTAGCAGTCTGTTGCTCATTTTCTCCTTAAGTTTCGCTGGCATGTCGCCCACTTTCTCTTTTCACCGTTTTTTCTCTGTCTCTCACTGTATTTCAAATTTGTGGACATGACAATTAATCTAAGCTTAATACTTTAGACAACACCAGGAGCTCCGGCCTGACAACACCCATACGGAAACAATTTCCGCTTTCCGTTTTCGTCTTTTTAGATTCTTTCGTTGTCTCTGTTTCACAAGACGAGGGTGGCTATGCCATTTCCCGCCAAAATAACTTCAAGTTGCGATACCTGTATGTTGATTGAGTTATTTTACATTGGTATATATACCTGTGGTGCGGACGGACGGTCGCTTAGTCGCTCGGTCGAACGGTGAACGGTCACGTGATTACCAAATTTTCTTAGATGGTTAGATTAACTTAGCTTTGCATGGGGCTCCGCAAGCGCAAGCTTCGCGCCCGCGTGGAGCTCCGCTAATCATAATATAAGGAGTTTTCTCAGCAATACAACGATAAGAAGTCAGTCGTGAAAAATGGGTAATATCCATAAAAGACAGAAAGTTGGAAGGACAATGTAACCTCATAGTACTTTCCATGCTTAAAAACGTGTATGAAAGGTTCATACGCCGTAGTTTCCATACTTGCTTACTTGTGATTCTGGTCAAAAATTCCAAATATTATTCGAGCCTGTTTGATGATGTTGTTTTCTCAAAGGGAGGCTAGTTTAGAGGATAGAAATGTCATATTACTATAGTTGAAACATTTCCATATTTTTAAAGGGGTTAACCTAGGATTCTGGTTCAAAATTCTAAATATTTTTCAAACCTAGTTTTCTGTACAAGAGACCTTGGTTTTGTCGTTTTATGATATTCTTTACTCAAAAGGAGGCGCGCCTTTTAGATCAATTAGACGCAGGAGCCCATCAAGTTGATGGGCTCCTGTTAGACGCTAATAATCACATTTTACGACGGTCGAAAAATTTCCATATTTTCAAAGGGGTTTAACTATGATTCAGGTCAAAAATTCAAAATATCTTTTGAGTCTTCTTTTCTGTAAAAGAGACCGTGGTCTTGTCGTTTGATGATGTTTTTTCTTAAAAGGAGGCTTTTTCAGACCATGAAAATGTCATTTTACTCTAGTTGAAAAATTTGCATAATTCCAAAGTGGTTAACCCATGATTCTGGTCCAAAATTCCAAATATCTTTCGAGCCTAGTTTTCAGTAAAAGAGACCTTGGTTGTGTCACTTCGGTAAACTTTATATAGGGAGAAAACCGTTTACATAAAAACCCATAAAACGGCCATAAAATCGGCCCGTGGACCACACAGGAGAGACCGGTAACACACATTTTAAGTAAGGTAAGCTGTTTCTTATTGAAATCCTTTCATTTTCGTAGGTTACAGAAAAAATAGGCTTTTTCCCCCATACAAATCCTTATACAGTCGACTCTCTCTTAACAGACACCTCTATAAGACGGACACCTCCCTAAAACGGACACCTAGAGTTGGTCCCTGCCTTTCTTTGCTCCCTTTATTGGACTCTCTATAAGACGGACATCTCTCTAAGACGCACACTTACTGCCGGTCCCAAAGTTGTCCGTCTTAGAGGGAGTTGACTGTATTTCGAATGTTACGATTCAATGCCGATGTTCGCCGATGCTCATATTTCGAGCTTGGGCTAGGCCTGTGATTTTAGTTAGAGAAAATTTACTCTAGAGTAAAAATAAATTTTTGCGGGAAAAATGTTTGAGGTAATTTTTCTTTGGCGGAACCTACTTTTGCGGATCGCTGGAAAAATCGCAAAAATGAGAACCCGCAAAAATTTCGTTCTACACGGTGTAAACTTCTCCGCAGGCCCCCATAAATAAGAGGAAAACGGATGAATCTCCAGGGAAACACCACGTGATTTTTAACTAATATTAAACTGATGCCTAAATCGATCATTGCAGCCGAACCATTTTCTCCGACATTTAGAGCTCCTGATAATTCTTTGGTTCCTGATCCACTTGTTTTTAAACATCCTGCGATATGAAGATGCTATTTGCAGCAGTCCTGATGGCCTGTGTATCTGTAGGTAGGTCCAATCCCAGACAATTACTCCGTCCGTCGGTAATACAATGTCCTATTCAGGACTTCGTTCACCCGGACGATCATATTCAACCTACTTATGAAACAGTGACTCCTGAGTTCAAACCTTTCACAATATAAGTGTATTATAAGTATAACAGAGCCCATACCAGTACTGCCTTCCGCTGAATGCATAATTTATGCCTTGAGCACATTAAGTTTATAATGATTTTTCAAAGTGGCCATGGTGTAAAAACAGTAAAAGAAATCTCCCTGTTTCTGAACAGTGGATTAACAACAGCAAAGAAAAGCCCAAAGACGTCTGTGATAATAATAAAGACCTTACAGAATACCGAAAAAAAAAGTGTGGAAATGCAGGAACTGCCACTTGACACAATGACTTGAGGAGAAACTAAATTTGCAAAATTTCATGGTTTCATGGGAGACCATACCCCCAAACCTCGCTAGAGGCTTGTACCTTAGGAACTTGTGTGAGTGCTTTTGGCGCTAAAAAATACTCCCTATTTTCCTCCAAAAGGGGTTGCAATCTCTGTACATGTAATTGGGCACGTGACGTGAAAAAAATTTAAATTATAAAAAAAAACATTTTGTTTGTCCACCCCTCCCTGGCTGACCCCTCTTCATCCAAGCCATTCTGACAGTAGCCAAATTAACATTCTTATCTAAGCTACTCCTATGTAGTTTCCTTAGCTCTAAAATTGCAGTGTAAGCTTAAACAGTCATATCTTACCTGTACCATGATCAAAACTCTCCATGAGCGTGCAAGATCAATGCTCATAAACCTTCTTGTTCCAAATAAAGTACCTTCTTTTTATCACATTTAAATGATAAACAAAATAATCAGCCACTGAACTGAAAGACCAAGCTGCGTTCTGACAGAATTCGTGCTTTCATTTGAAGTTAGTAGGACAAGGGCGCCATTATAAGGCGCCATCTTGGTTTCCCCTGGTCCCCAAGCTCCACTCGGTAAAAACTTAGGCAGATGTTAGGGGAGGGGTGAGGTGAGGCGGTGAGGAGTTGCCACAAAACACGATCAGTTTTAGAGACATGTAAAAGTTTCCTTTTATGTCGATTTACCGAATTTAAAGTTTCAATTTTTTTTTCTCATCCTATATTTTGATGTTGCTACAGGTGTTGAACCTAACTGAATAAGTTCGACTTTGGATCGACACTGGCGCGACATCTGATCCAGACTGCGCACCGTGTGTCGTGCCTACGTAAAGTTCGCCAAACGTTTGACAGACTCTGTCGAACTTAACGCTTTTGCCGCATCAAACTAACACTGCTGTACTAAACTGATTCAGACGCCGCTCCTTTACCATACTTAATTCATCAGTTAGGTTCGGCACATGAGTGGAGCGGCGACTGAACCGGGTCTAAGGATTTAAGAAAAAACAAGAGTTTCGTTATAGTTTTCTTGATAATAATGAATAATAATAATAATAATACGTAGATTTAGCCAGGGCAAAAAGCGAAGCTCTCGATAATATTCCAGTATAGTTTGCTAAACAAAATATATAATCGTGTAATGCTAAGCGGCGAAGGAAACGAGAACGGAACAACAACAATAGGTCTAATTATCAAAAAAGCAACTTTGCACGTGCAGCACACTTTTTTGTGCATTTCTTTGCCGTTGTTTTGCACGACTACAACAGGAAACTTCCCGGTTCTACGTTTTGTGGAGGAAATGATCGTACGTGTTCTTGTTCATTTTTTGACTGCCGCCCATTTTCACCTTGGTGGCCGCTAGAAGGCCGCTAGCATTTCTCATTTTCTCAACCGCCGTTACAAAATTTTCACGTTGTTCTTCCAACAAGAAAATCTCTCCTTTGTCTTTTATCGCTCGCTGTAGCAGTCTGTTGCTCATTTTCTCCTTAAGTTTCGCTGGCATGTCGCCCACTTTCTCTTTTCACCGTTTTTTCTCTGTCTCTCACTGTATTTCAAATTTGTGGACATGACAATTAATCTAAGCTTAATACTTTAGACAACACCAGGAGCTCCGGCCTGACA